ACGTTATTTATTAATTTAATTAATATCATCGTATTCTACGTAAAATTCTCTATAAAATTGATATATCACATTTTGACATTTTATATAAAATATTTCCCGGTTAAAGTGGTCACTCCGGTCGATCCCGAGATCACAGGACAATATAAATTACATATTCTGACTCAGCATTGGATGGACGTTCATATCCAATCAAAAAATTCCGATTGCCAGCTTATCAAATTCTGTATTGTATTATGACAAGGTTCTTTCATTGAAATTCTTAATATTAGTAATTGCCATTAATTTTATATACAGTAAACGCTATTTAGGAAAAACCTTTATATGGTTTTAGGCTTACACATATCATGAGAATAAGACTAATATGTGTTTTATCAATAAACTATTTTATAATTTACATTTTAAAGACTTATTAATTAGATGTATATCAAACTCTAATTGTAAGAGTTTTCTGAATTTGTTTAAACTTTTTTTTGTGAATTGATGGCAAAAATAAAAGTAAAACTCGGTTTTGTTTTTATGATAAAATGACTTTTTAAACAATCTTTAGTGAATGCATAATAAATATATTTATTTATGAGATAATATTTATTTTGTTAAATATTGTACTGTATTAACATTAATAATTGTTTATTAGCTTAAACCCTGTTTAAACTATTTGTGAATTAATGGCAAAAATAAAAATAAAACTCCACTTATTATCATTATTATAGCTGTTATCCAAAAGCCTGTCGTATATCCAGTCTTCGCATCAAAAGTTTTTCCTATATTTGAGAAATGTTTTTATGATAAATAGTTAATTAATTAATAAAATTAATACCTATAAGTGGTGGTCCTAACAAGTTGGAAATACCTATAATGAATATAATGAGTCCGAATGTATTGGTTACCCTTTCTATACCAAACAAGTCCACCACTACTACCGGCAATAGAGTAATAAAAGCACCTAGTATAATTGTAGTTTAGATTAACGGTTGAATACAATAATACAAGTATTTATATTTTAAGGCAAACCTTCAACCAAACCGACAATAATAATTAAAACGATGAGAAGTGTATAGTTTTGTCCGAAAGCAGCGATTAAACCAATGGCCACACGGTATGATAGGACAGACAGACTGAAGAGTATAATACGATTAAGTGATGGAAAGTCTGCGATATATCCGAAGAAAGCTCTGCCGAAAGCGTTGGAGAGACCGAAGAATACCATGAGATTGACGGCATCCCCTCCCGTTCCCATTCCTGTCTTCACGACGTGGTCTTTGAGGAAAATGATGGGCACGTAGTTGACGGCACCCCACAAGAAGCTGGCGAATGCCAAGTATACGAACACCACATCCGTAAGGATATGGAAGTCAAAGGTCTCTGTGAGGGCTGTCTTGAGGTGACTCTTCTCCTCCATGTAATCCACTTTCCGGAAGAGCGACGAAAAGGCGACACAACTGAACATAAGGCCCGACAACAGAAGCATCGCTCCCTTCCAGCCGTACGTCTCTATCAAGTGGTCCGACAGTAACGCGAATATAGCTATTCCTATACCAG